CAATAATATTATTCATGTAAAAGGAAAGTGGAAGCGATCCCTGCATGTGACTTCACTCTGTTTACACAACCATGCCCTCAATGCATCGATAGCGCCAGCCAATAAAGCTCACCACATACACACACAGGCGGAACACATTGTACACGTAAATTGCATGAACTGGATTTCACAAGGTGAAGGAAAGAAACCAAGCCAGAGTCTGACAATTAGCAAAGATTTAAAATAACAACTGAGGGGCCTGAGGCGCAGTGTTAAAGTTGAGGAGACATAATGAGAGTCAGAGTTATGATTCCAACTCACGGGAAAAACAGAGGCACTGTTGTAGTGCTCAGATATACAACACCAAGTGGATACAGCTCTTTAATTCGCTCTCTGGCTTCATTAAATACTGACCTGATGAGGAAAATATTAATTAGAATACGGACCATTAATTTTGGGGAAAGTGCATTTAAATTAATGCTGTTGGACATGTTTTAAGACCAGGGGCATGAAAAACTTATATACAGATCCAAATGACTATAAATGCTTGTTCAAGTAAAAGTGTGAGTGTGTGTTGCGTGCACAGGTTATGGGACAGAAATCGCCATGAGGTAAACGGCCAAACTTTAGGGTTGAAATCAATTTTTTGGGGTGAAAGTTAATGTCTCCAGTGGATTCCAGTAATGCAGTGTCCTCTTAAAACTGTTTATATGTTACAGCCATAGCTTCAGTGTAAAAAATAGAGAGAACTCATCCGACAAACAGGATACAGCACCAGGATTCCCACGGGAGAATACAGCACATACTGAACGAGAGAGAGAGATGTGGTCATGTCTCTAACAACATTCACATGGTTGTTGTCTTGGCTGAAATAAGTGGGCGACACCCTGCGCACATCCAGAAAACCCTGCACATCCTGCAGCCCTGTTACCTCGTCTTCCTTCTTAACTGCAACAGTTTATCCACGTGTCTCCTCAGTTACGTCCACCAAGGAGGTGGTTTTCAGCCGTGTTTGTTTATTTGCTGGTTCGTTTGTTTTCATGATTATGCAAAAGCTGCTATACTGATTTCCACCAAACATGGCGGAGGGATGGGGCCTGGGCCTCGGAGGAAACCATTAAATGTTAGTGCAGCTGTGGATTAACGAGTGGATCCAGGATTATTGTTGCATTTTCTTTAACTATGTTTTATGACAAATAAATAATTTTTGTTGTAAGTTGTAGGATCACTTCTGTTCGTGTTTCCACTATAAGAACTATACCTCGGCGAGGATATGAGCTCTGTGAGCCACTAGTTTGCAAATGTGGAGAAAAAAAGCTTCAGAAAATCTACATTTAATAATAACTCTCTAACTTTCTTCAGCCTGTAAGGCTGCTGTATGCAATATTAAATGCATAAACTGAATTGCATTACTACTTTTGGGTGAATGGGGTTTCTCATAGTGACAAACCAACAGAGTAATCACCCAATTCTGCCAACCCTGTTACCTAAATATATTTTTTATATGGTAAAAAAAAGTTTGTGCTGCAGACAGAGCACTTCATCATAAACAGCATCTAGGTGTTATTCTTCTGTGGTAAATCTTAAAAGCTCTTTAGCTTGGCTTTTGATGCAGTATGTTTTATTATTTTATTGCATCTATGTTTTAAACTATAATCAAATGTACCTGCCTCTTAATATAATTATGTTTTTTGTCCTTTTATTGACATTTTCTTGTATTTCTTGAATTTTTTATTGTTATTTTAGCTTTTAACAGCTATTGTACTTTTTTTTTATTGTCCATATTTTTATTTGTTTTATCGTATTCTTGATTACATTGATTACCATGAGAGGGTGAGGATCAGGGGGCAGATCCAGGACTCTTTTTATTACTTTGTTTCACATTGCGAGATGTTGGTGGGTGTTTTTCAACATTTTCATTGATGAATTGGGAACAATCAATGGATCCTGATGAAAAAATCAGCATATATGGAGGACTTGTATTTATGGGTGTGTGAATTTTGGTGCAGATCCAAATAAAAATCTGGATCTAGTGAATTTAAATGTGGTTTCATTAGGGGACTGCTGGGCCTTGGTGGAGTTATGTGCTCTACTGAGTGCCATTTGAGTTTTTGCATTGGAAAAAGAACTACCTACTAAAACTATTTTAACAATACATCACTATAACAATGACAATACATTTAAATGTGCACCCTCCTCTGTGAGGAAGGCTTTATGCAACCAAAACAAGACTGACAGTGAAGAGACTAAAATTGCTTTGCTCATGGGCCCCTCAACGGCAGCCGACTGCAGCATCTGCAGCGAATCAACCTCACTTTCACCTTCACCTCACTCTGCTCTCTCACTCTCACTTCCCCTCCTCTTCCTCTTGTTTCTGTCTTTGCATTTTTCTGTTATTAGGAACAAGCGTTGCAGGTAGAAACTTTCCCTGAAACACACACAAAAAAAAACATGCTGTCCTCTACAGTGCATGTTTGCTGTCATGCACGGGTGGTAGCCCTCAGCCTGTCATGTCCCATCAGTCACTCTGCTGCCCTGAGTCTCAGAGACGGAAAGAATAATGAGTTGTTTTCATGCTGTCGTCGAACTGAACACCTTTAATTGCGTCATGGTGATTCAAGTCGCACACTGTCTATATGTGTGTTTGTATAAGTTGTGTTTTTTCCTTGAAAGAAGAAAATCTGTTTGCCTTGTGTGACCTTCGGATGTCATTGTCCTGGCTGATGCTGAGCAAACCGGTGTTGTGTTACCTTCTGTGTTCTACTAAAAAGTTAATTGAATCTGGTCATTAAGACAGCAGATGCTTTTGGGTCTGTTGCACAGGATTTGTCAAAAAGTGAGTCATTTATGTGGGCGTGGGAAGCAGAGAGGTACAGATAGAGGAAACTGGTCAGCAGAAGTATCGGCACAACCACCAGTTAAACTCTGTGTGCTGACTTTGTGGTCACCCTCCCCCACCCTCCCCACCCCCGCTCATGTTCCTAGTTCACACAGTCCAAAGTCCCCCCACCCCCCCACCTCAACCCCTGTGCATACTGTTAATGGACCGGACCTGTCTATGCCGCACAGGGACACATCTATGTGCTGGAATTTCCCATGACTGATCATCATCTATCGTCACGGACACCTTCCACCCCCGCCTTCTCGCCCCCACTCCCCATCCCAAAGCAACAAGGAGGGAAAACAAATCAAACAATTCACAGTTTCCCATTATTTTCTCTGTCAACATGTGGTTCCAATCAGCACTGTGTGTGTGTGTGTGAGAGAGAGAGGGAGACACCATGTGAATGTTTTTATTTTCCATACATTTTCTACTCAGATACAAAGCTCTTTGTCCACTCTCTTTCTCCATCTTTTTGGCTCCACCTTCCTCCTCTCACGCCCTCTCCATCTTCCCTCTCTCTCTCTCTCTCTCTCCCTCCTTCTATTTTGATCTTGCTTTTCTTGGCTGTAAGTCAGACCTCAGGCAGACCTAGAGGTCTTTTTCCCAAGCGATCTCCAGGGTGGACTCCAGGGAACGGAGCACACACACACACACACACACACAAACACAGACCCTCCCCTCACATGCTCTGTCCATTTCCTCCTCTGCTGCTGCTCTTATCCCATATCTCCCTCTGTCTGCACCTCTGTGTTGACTCCCAGTGTTGTTGCATCGCTTGTAAACTATGTTGCAGCCATAGTTTATTGGGAAAACTGAGAACACAGTGTTCAAAATCAAGAATTGTGTTCCTGAATCTCTCTGTACAATGTACCCCCATTTACACATGACATGTTTTAAGGCTTAATTTATCCGGGTTAGCACAACTGGGATCAGGGAGCTCATTTACAAAGAAGACCAAGTCAAGCCTGCAGCTGCACTTTCAGTTACAGCCAGAACAGCTGCAGGAAAACACACCCAGAAGGTTGATTGTGTACCATAGATTCTCCCTGACTGAAACAACTTAATAATGCAGTAAGATATTATAGATCACAAAGGATGCTTCTGGTGGGAGTTTGTGTAAAAATGACACAAATCAGGTTTTGCATTAGAAATGGCAGCAATAGCACAGTGGGAAAAATACTGTTACATGAATAATTCTGGCATCCAGAAATATACTTAAGATAAGTGTTTATCATGCAGAATTAGACATTTTAGAATTTTTAGAGTTTAGAAAAACTAAACCAAACTTAGTTGAGCGATGAGGCCTGGGCCTGAGAGGAACTCATTAAATGTTGCTCTGAGAGCAGATCAATAGATCCTGGATATTTTCCCTCTTAACCATGTTCTATAAGCTAAAGAATGAATCATTCATGTTGTCAGACCACTACTTTATATTTCTACTGTAAGAACTGAAAATCATGTGTAGGATTGTTCGGCCTTGCAGAGGTTTGAGTTTCACTGTGGACCATTCTAGTTATTGATGTGATAATGAGAAGGCCTCACTTTAATATTACAACTGTATGCAGTGTATACAATGTATATTACTAATCTGAATCTGTACAGTAACATGTGCCAACAGCTGTGAAGTTATAGCAGACTACAATACTGATCTAGAAGCATTAAGAAAAGTAAAAAAATAATGATCATATAATATAATATACCTCAAGGTTGTACTTGAGTAAATGTACTTTGTATGACCATCTGAGTCATGTCAGTCAAGTCAGTATGTTTCAAACACATTTAAAACATGTTGAGGACTTTAAAACTGCTGCTTAAACAGTCAAACCTGATCTGGTCCTAAAGGTCCTTGTCAAATAACTGTTCTATGAGAACAGGTTTCACCCACCAAGAGAAGGAAAAAGCTGGATTACAGCACTATCTAGTGGTGAAGAAGAGTTAAGAGAAAGATGTTCTAGAGCAAATTAGAGTGTATTACTCCTATTTTAAATAAATGGAATGAACGAAGATCAGACAGTTATCTTTTATAATTCATGGATATTTCAGGGTCACAGTTCAGTGGGCAAACTGAAAGCTGTGTATTTGAGCATAACCATCTTGTACAACGCAGGTCTAATTACGATACAAACCAAAAGGATGATAACAGGAGAAAAATCATTATTTTATTATTCTACATAACAAAACAGCTCAAACTGTCCAAAATGCTCCTCCCCTGATCAACACAGACCTTTGGAGCAGTCCACTCACACACAATTGTCCTACTTGGCTGTCACAGAGACCAAAGTTGTGCATTTAAATGACTAAGCTTCATCATCGCTTCCTGCCAGGCTGCTGTCTGTGGAGTCCAGGTCCTGCTCCTGTTGTGGATCTGTCTCCGGGTGCTGTTTGGGCTCTGCTGTCTCCGGTTGCTGTTTGGGCTCTGCTGTCTCCGGTTGCTGTTTGGGCTCCACTTTCTCTGCGTGCTGTTTGGGCTCCGCTGTGTCGGAGGGCTCTGTAGGTTCTGTGGCAGTGTCGGTCTCTCCAGGTTTGGTGGTGCTGTTGTTCTTCTGGCCTTGATCGTCTGTCTCCAAGAAAGTAGACCAGCCCTTCAGTCGCTCCTCTCGCTCTCGTGTTGTCTCTTCCACCTGCACAAATAGAGTTAGCATGACTTCTTGCTGGAGGAAGAGAACTTCACTGATTCGACATCGCAATCCTTAACACCGAAAGTGAGCATACCAAGAGGCTTGAGCTACATATATAGATTTTTTCCCAAAAGTTGCAGTTCCTTTATTTTATGAGCCTGGCTGGGCCTCCCCAGTTCAATCTCAAAGTATTTCTGATATTTTGGTTGCTTTACCTGATAGTCTGTTGTTCCATCCCAAAGCTCGGCAGACAGCTGTCTTCCTCCAAACCAGCGACCATTGAATGACAAAATGCATGCATCGGCTTGTTCGGGCTCCTTGAACGCGATTGAAGCGACGCCATCTGGGTGTCTCTGCAGCACAAACAATCAGAACCATGTTCAGGCTCTGTATTGATGCCATTGATGGGAAATTCAAACCATTCTACTATAGCCATTTTCAGGTGCTTGCCGGAGGCCAGACATGACGTACAAATTCAGCTTCGGAAATCACATCAACACTTTTCATGGAAGTGTCTGGAGATCAGTGCATGTCTGACAGTAGCTCATGACTTTGAGACATCACTAGTGACATTCGACTCACGTCAAAGAGGATGACCTTCTTCACCTCCCCGAACTTCTCACACTCAGTCCGCAGATCATCGCGATACTCATTCAGCACCAGTGGATCTTCCTAAGAGAGGCGGAGATCACAGAGATTTACACACACAACAGACAGTATGTGTGTGTGGCTGCATGTGTGTTCTTCTTTGTACCTCAAAGTCACTGGGATGGAACATGTTTCTGATGATGACAACTTTTTCATGCCTCTTTCTCAATTCTCCTTTCTTCTCTGGCCTCCAGTCCAACTGTCTACACAGACAAAGACAAACAGGAACAAGATAGAAATGCTCAGTCATATGTCTTCATTTCTCTTCAGTCATGAGTGAAGATGATCTCTGCAAGTGGGAGGTTGAATAAAAAGAACAGGGATTAGACTTTACTTCTGTTGCTGCTGCATCTTCTTCTTATAATCTTTGTTCTTCTTCTTCTTCTTACTGGCGTCGTACTGTCCCTTCAGCTCAAAATGTGCTGCTTCCACATGGAGTCTGTAACCTCTGACCTCTGACTCGTCAATCAGACGCATAGCCAAAGCCACCGACTCCTTCTGCAGAAAATCCCACACACACAGATACATATAAACAAGCTGGTCAGACAGAGGACTACACATTAAAGCTAATATTGTAATTGACCTTCAGGAGTTAAGAAGTGGAAACTAAAAGACTAACCTTGAGGTAGCAGCAGAGGCCATCTCCCTTCAGATTTCCTTCTTTATCCTTGTAGAGTTTGACCTTGTACTCCTCAGTGATGGGATCCCGCATCACAATTCCACACTTGGACATTAGTTCTGCAAACTCATCTGCGCTGATGTCGGGGGGCAGACCTGTGGAAAGGAGATAAGGAGAGAAGAAGACAGAGATAGGATAAACAGTCTTTGGACAAATGCTTTCTTGACAATGAGGAAAAACGTTTAGCGAGACTCACCCGACACATACACGTTTGTGTTTTTGTTGTCATCAATATCAAACCATCCTACATGTACAGAAAAAGGGGCAAAGCCTTAATCAATGGATGAATTCTATACAAACTTAAACTTTGAAATTATACATATACATAAAGAGAAATTATACACCAATAAGCGTACCTCTTTAAAAACAAGAACTTAAATATGCACTGCTTTCTCTGTTTATGAATATCACTTTACCTGGCTCTGCTTTCCTCTTCTCCCCTTTCTGCTTAGCTAGCTCGTCTGGATTCAGGTTCTGAGTGGCATCTCCTGCTTTCTGCTTTTCTGAGGGCTTGCTGTCTGGTTTAGGGGCTGCTGGTTCAGTGCTGCTCACTGCAGCGTTGTTTGCATCCTGTTCTCCTTCCTTAGTGAAGCCATAGTTGGCCTGGTAGGCTGCGATGAAGTCCTCTGTTATCTAGGAAAACAAAGCAAACTCATTTAACATTAACTCGGAAACTGGCTATTTGTCACACATTATAGAAACTGTAACTGTTCAAAGTTATAGCTTTTAAGGCCAAAAACCTTCATGAGTAAATTCATCACTGACAGGTGTTCAATAAGCAAAACCTTCATATCATAAATAAAGCATACTGATCAAAATAAAAGTATTTTTCTGCTACATGTTCCACAATCCTCTCCATAAAGTAGTAGCATCAGAGAAGCATCTGATCACTTCCAGATTCAATCTACAGCAACACAAGAAAAACAAAAGGGTCCTGCAACCAGCACCGAGCCTCAAACTCAACGCTGTGGACTCAGTCTGGGTTTACACAAAACAGAGGACAAGACAGGAATTTAGAGACTTTAGACCAAATGCACTGTGGGAAAACATAAATTGAGAGGTAGCAATGTTCATACTTTGGGGAACCAGGCCTTCTTCTCAGGATCCCAGTCGTAAACCGTCCCGTCCTCTGGGTCGGTGTAGGTGTAGGGGTCAGAACCATCCTCAGTTCTCTGGCCGTAGAGGTCCTGCAGCCGCAGCTGCTCCATAAACTCTTTGTTGGCATCTGAAGCACCACTCATCTACAACAAGCATGAGACTTGTTAGAGAGATAATATACATTATACATGACATGTCTATTACTCTGAAGTAGGGATGATTTAATATCCTCCTTTGCCATTTCTTCTGTAATATTTCAGAGGTAGTTTTGATGTCAAGTTCTCACAGTCTTGTAAGGTTTCCTCTGTAATCAAAGGTTTTGTGAATAAGTATCTGTTCATGAAACTTGAGAGAGAAAGTCAGCGTGTGTCTCAAAGCAGGATAATAAATACATGTGCTTCTGTCAGAGGGAAAACAAACAACAATTGTATTAACCTATAAAACGAATGAATAACTATCCAGCTTCTGACACATCACTGCCCCTCCACACAGACAAACACACCATCGAGCATGTAGATCTCTTTAACGCAACACGCTATTTATAGGATCGGACAGCTCGACACAACGCCAACGAGCTAATGTAGACTCACGGAAACCCACAGTCCACAATCACAGGGCTGTTGTGGGTCCGCTGACTTTAAAACAATTCCCTGCTGCACCTTGGTAGCATCTGAAAATCTGTACCTGTGAGTTTTGGTACCAGTGATCAGTTTGTAAATGTTAGCAATCATGGCTAGTTAGCGTTACCTTCAGCTCGGGTACTCCAGGCTAAACCAAAACCTGCGACAACTAGCGGAGCTCCTTCCCCCTCGCCCGAAGAGCTTCCTTTATTCAGCTGGTATAGTTTGGGTTTTTTAAGTTGTTTTATTTTGTAAATTACGTTATTTCATCGCATGCTAGTGTTTTTCCCTCCGAGTCCGCGACAAGCATTGAATTGAGTACTTCCGGGTTACATTCCAAACGCACATGCGTGAAACCGGGGATCTGAGCATTTGATTTGCAGTACAGCGTCTACCGTTCGTCAAGGAGCGACTGGCACCCAGGAGCAACATTAACTCCACCCGCAGGTTTTCAGAGAGTTGAAAGAATCCATCGCTTCTCTTGTAAGAGCTACAGCCTCGCTAAGCTAAACTAGCTTTTCGCGTAGCTAACATTTAAATAGCACGTCCCGGGTGTGTTCGACATGGCGGAGGGTCCGTCCAACCTCCCCCCGGGAGACCCGCAGCTCATCGCCATGATTGTGGAGCACCTGAAGAACCGGGGGCTGTTCGACGAGTTCCGTCGGGACTGTCTGGCCGACGTCGATACGAAGGTAGGCAGCTAACTTTAGCCAGACTACAAGCTAATGCTAGCATGTTTTGATCCATCTTTGGATCAACCCGTCGATAGTTTTAGTATTATCTTCATTGTTAATGTAGCTCAAACATAAGAAGCAGCATGATATCCCAGTGTGTCATTCTGTTGAGGTTGGGTTGTGTGCTAATGTCTCCTGGATGTTTCTAAATATCTTGTTGTTTACATATTTGTTGACGTTTGTTTAAGTGGAAAATGATCATTACAAGTAAATATCAACGGTTCTATGGGTTCCCTGTGACTGTGGCACTGATGAGCAGCAAATGAAACCTCACTCAATCAATCAGCAAACTGAAAACCTGAACAGCCACCGTGATCTTATTTCTTAAAAATCAGTCAAATGCCATATGTCCAGGGGCAGCTAAACTTTGGCTTACGACCGACTTGTTAGTCTTAATGTCGCTGTCACTGTCGTTGCTGCCAGCCTGCCTATCAGAACCTGCGACAAAAAGTGGACAACTTTGTCACGTCGCACCTGAGCACGCAAGACTGGAACCCAACCAACAACAAGAACCAGATGAGGAATGGACTGAGGCAAAGTGTTGTTCAGTGAGTGCTGCTTTCAGTCTTTAACTTATTTAATGTCTGGTTCACAGTGTAAAGAAATAACAATACACTTTTATTCTATTCACTTTACACATGTCCACAGATTAGTCAATATTTGTTATGACTTGTGAAATTGAAACCCAGTCAAGGTACCACCATTTTTTCTGTTAAAGGCCAGATATTTAACATTCTTTTGTAAAATGTGGGAACATCCAAAGAGTAGGACTGCAATCAGTTGTTATTTATTATATTGGTTAATTATGTTCTATTTATTACTTAATCATTTGTTCTATACAACATTAGAAAACACTTCAAATGTCTTGTCAACATGTTTTCAATGAATAATTGATTATGGTGTTTTTGCTTAAAAAATTATCTTAATAATCAGTCAATATATGTTTAGTTTTTTACCAGGTACTGTTGCTGATGAAATTAGTTTTGACCTCTTGATCAGTAGAGAGACATTTGCTCGTCTAATCAGAATGCAAATAGCAAAATCATCAATAATTATCATTACATTTATTGATGCAAATCCTGTTTTTCTTTGTTTGCTTTTAGATCCGGTATGTTGGAGTCCGGTGTTGACAGGATCATCACTCAGGTTGTGGACCCCAAAATGAACCACACTTTCCGACCACACATAGAAACAGCCATCCACGATTTCCTGTCAGGGGACAGGAAGGAGGAGAACACATCAAGTTCTAACTCTGCACCGTGTGAACCGACAGAACCGCAGGAGGCCCCGTCTGCGTTGGGCCCCAAAACCCCCTGAGGTCCGGTTAAGAAAACTCAAGTACACTCTCGAGAACACTTCAGAGATACAGTAAAGAAATCTGTATTCCCTCTCACTGCAGGCATATATGCTGATCTACATGCAATGTAGTATGGCTGTGTTAGACCTGTGAAAGGTGCAGCATCAGAGGGAGAGGAGGAGGTTGTTTCCTGCTATGTTGTCTAATGAAGGGAGGCAGGAATGTTGCTGAGTTCAAAATGTTGAACATCAGGTGCTGTTTCATCGCCTGATTCTCCTACATGACCAACAGCTGGAGAAGTTACACTGACACTGCACAAACCTGGACTATTACCTTTTCAATAATTTGGTCACGTTTTTTAATGTTATTTTGCAGTGTTACATATTATATATTTCACTCAGGTTGTTTGTGTACTTGTGTGCATTTTCCACCAATACGATTTTGACTTTAAGCTTTAAAATGTGTCTGTTCTGATTCAGATGGAGGATTAAAGTCAGTGGGATGTTTAAGTTCTGAGGTTTAGAGGAAGACGATCCAGCAGGTTACATCCAACTACTCAGACACGCGTCTGCAGGCAAGAAAATCCTTTAGATATGTCCTTCAGGTTTCCTTTTTTTGTGCATGTTTGTATTTTGTATTAGTGATTGTGCATCCCTTCTTCTTTAGTAAACACATCTAATATCACGTTCCTCTCTTTCATCTGTTTCTTTATTGTATCCTTTTTTACTTCTGGGCTTTTATCACTAAAGATATTCTGATACTCTGTGAAAGGTAGACACACAGTCTATCATTTCCTCTGAGTAACAATAACAATATTGTTTTTGCTGAAGTGAAAACAGAGGAGAGCCCAGAATTGCAAAACACTGCCACCAGGCGGGGCTGTTATTCTTGTTGGGCAGAATCCAATAGTTTTCAACACTTTTCTACCATTGCTATTTTGGAGAAAAACCTCTTTACTTTTTTTTGCTGTTGCTGCCACTCCTACGTGACCCATCTGCAGAACAAATAGCAGCTGTAGTTTACAGTCTGAAGTTGCAATGAGTGACCTCACTGATTTTGTATCTACTGCATCAGCTACAAGGCAACTGTCACCCAGCCATTGTGTCCTATTGTTTTGTCAAAGATACAACCAGCCCTTCACTACATGAAAATTGTGTTTTTAAAACACGTGTTGTCCCTGTGGCAGGCTGATAAATTTAGTTTAATGTAGTTTCTCATAGAAGCCGACTGTCAAAGCCTCAATCAATCCAGGTTTAACCTCAGTCATTTGTAAGTGTTTTTGTGCGCATCATCACACATTGCACAACGATATTGATTTAACTCCTTGTTTTTGGCAGCAGACGGATCTATATGTTAACGCAAATATTATGTGTGTCTGCATTGCTGTGTGTTTTTGTTCTCCCATGGTGCTTTGAAGTTTTGAATTGAATAGATGAGTATAATCAATTAATTCAGTGATCTTTGACCATTTACTCGTCGATTCATGAAATGTGATAATACATCTATTAATTCTTGTCTTATTATCAAATAAGGTATGAATGAAACTATGTTTTACAGCTGTTTACAAGACAAGCATCAAAGCTCAGCAGTAACTTTACAACAAGAAAGTCCTGGAGGCTCATTAATGATCTGTAGACATCACCTCAACCTTGTTTCATTGAAGCTACTTTTTACTAAAAAAAAATTACTGATGTTTTTGAGTTTTTCAAAAGAATTTTAAAAACCACAACTTTGAGTCAAAAATAAATGTAGGGATCCATATGTACTTTTGGTCAACGAACAATCTGCTTTGAAGTTAAGTTGTCCAAAGTTTTGCATCTTACAATACAAACTGTGGTGAACTGAGCACTTCAGAGTAGAGCCGTGTGATGACAGCATTTACAAACCCAAAAGTTGTGGTAACACTTCCTCCTCTGATCAGTTATCACAAAGCAGATACTTGTGACTTTGATCTATATGTCCACACACACACAGAGGGCGACGTGTACAATATTGTTTACAAGAGTGCAAGAGGGTCCCGCGTGTGTGCTGTTTGCACAGTGGTGTCCATGTACACTTTTTTGCTGTTTTGGGCATGTGTGTGTGTGTTTGGTGTCGGGGTGAAGGGTCATCGTGTGGGTGGTCACCAGGGGTTGTGTGAGGGAAGATGTGGGGTGTTGTTTTGAAGCATAATGAGCGTTGCGGAGAGGAAAAAAAGTCCTCCAACCGACGTCAAAAAGTTTCAACATTGGCTCCTGAAAGAGTGTGTCCTCCTCAGTTGGGCCCCATGTACGGACACACACATAAACACACCTTGTCTTTCTACCTTGACCTCACACACACACACACACACATACACTTGTTCCCAACTGCGTTCACTGAAGGCCTCTCGGATGCAGGGCAGATTAACCCGAAGGAGGCAAAGGTATTTGTTTGGTCTGCATGGAGATGCCGATGTGCTGGTGTTAGTGTGTCACATGACCCATCCCTATGTGGAGGTCAGAGGTCATGGCCGTTATGAATCAATACATACAACCACAACAACAAGGCAGCAACATTTGTACGCATTGTGAAGAAAGAAAACAAAGCTTCACTCACCTTTGACTCACATTCAGCAAGCTGTGTTCAGGGAACAAATAAATCATGGGAGATGTAGCGATATATTTCATTAAGGTAGAGACAGCTGTTTATAATTCATCCCGTTGTCTGGAGGCAATTTTAAAGTAAGTCAGACCCTAAGAAATAATAATCCAAAATGTTGCTATTTTCACGTTAGTGGTTTTGACTGAAGGGTCTCAAACACATTTTGGGCCGAATAACCATGAAATAGATTACACTCATTAATGGTGCCCAGAGGATTAATGGAGAATAACTCACATTTAACTTTTCATCCAACATGAGGTCAAAACGAACTTTTAATTTGGGTAAATGCACAACAGAGTTTCCAGTCAGCCTCATCTGCTGCATGTTACTTCTTCATAATTACATTTTAGCTTTAATAACCAGTGTGCAAAGACTTTTGTGACATCTGCCAAGGAGGTGATATTTTCATCTGTTTTGTTTGCTTGTTTTTTAGCAGTATTACTGAAAAACCACAGGATGAATTACCACAAAACTTGGTGGATGGATGTGTTATGGGTCAGGTAAGTACCGTTGAATTTTGGGGTGGATCTTGGACATTGCAAGAGTTAGAGTAGAGCGGTCAAAGAGATTTTACACAACCTGAAGGCACAACATTTTTCCCTATAGATGACTTTAAATTAAATTATTAAAACCATTAGGTACATCTTTAACTCTCTCATAAATGGTGCCCTGTTAGAAAGTGGTAAAACATGGATATCTCAAAGGCATATCTAATTTACAT